AGGAATAGTACACCCAAAACATGATTATCCTTCATTTTCTACTCACCCCCATGCTGAACAACACTCTGGAGTACTTTTTTGATATCTCAAATGCATCTGGAGATCTGGAAGGCTTCTTGCTGTCTGTTGACATTCAAATAATGGAGGTCTATGGCGCCCGAGGCAGAAAGGTCCATAAAAGTCCACAAAAAACGTGTCAATATTCCTCCATACTGCTCGTCCAATGTATTCCAAGTGTCCTGAGTGGGTAGCGTCCATAATTTACTCGAAACGAAGTCATTTAGAATGTTTTTAGAGCATAAACAGTAGTGTATAGGATTTCCTGAAAGCGCGTTCATGACGCTACGGAAGCCGGCAGACCAAACCAGATGAAAGTGCGCATTCAGCGTCTGCTCTGCCAATAATGCAAGCGTAGAAGAAGAAATGTGCTGTTTACCTGTGCAAAGAAAGAAACAACGAAAGAAAAATGTCTGAGGACATCAGTGTTGAGGAAGAGCATGAGTTCTTTGCCGAGCTGAATGCGCACTTTCATCTGGTTTGGTCTGCCGCGGTTTCCGTAGACTCGTGAACGCGCTTTTAGGAAATCCTATACACTACTGTTTATGCTCTAAAAACATTCTAAATGACTTCGTTTCTAGTAAATTCTGGATGCTACCCACTCAGGACACTTGGATTACATTGGACGAGCAGTATGGAGGAATATTGACACGTTTTTTGTGGACTTTTATGGACCTTTCTGCCTCGGGCGCCATAGACCTCCATTATTTGAATGTCAGCAGACAGCAAGAAGCCTCCCAGATCTCCAGATGCATTTGAGATATCAAAAAAGTACTCCAGAGTGTTGTTCAGCATGGGGGTGAGTAGAAAATGAAGGCTAATCATGTTTTGGGTGTACTATTCCTTTAAGTCTCTGCATTTAATCGATCCCCTTGGGGAGCAATGGCCTGTCCCTTTGCATCGCCCTGGGAGCAGTGTGGGGTTAAGGGTCTTGCTCAGGGACCCAGAGTGCAGGCTGTGGGGATCGAACCTTCTCCAAGCACAAGCGCACTGCTCTAACCAGGCAAACACTCCCCCTCCTTCTGCAAACAGAGTTAAAGCCATATCTGCATCTGCAGAATGAATTACAGTTTTTTTCTGTCTAGGTTGGAGTAACCAGTACTTCTTTTTTAGGGCCTCTTCTTCCTGTTCCTGATCTGGTTTTAATGGTGTTCATGGGCAGAATCCCAAGGAGTAGACGTGGGGGGGTTGGTCTGGTATGGGAACCTCAGGATCTTATTAAATGTTTCTGCAGGTATCTTCCAGCATGACGACCATTAAGCTCCAAAATTGAGGCGGTAATGACAAAAACCAAACCCAGGTAGTTCATCTGCACTGACATTTATTTATTCATCCAGCAATGCTGCATCTTGATGTGCAACATGGATATTGACTGGTTAAATATATTTTTCCATTTGTAAACACACATTAAATTCATTTTAATATCTTTATCTACTTGATTCTGTTTTCTACTGTTTCTATTCCAGTCTTACTAGCGTTGAGCTACGGAAGTTTTTCCCTCACAAAGATGGCAGCCAGGGCTCAGCGCACCTGAATAAGTGATCATTGAACTGCTCCACCAGCTTCTGATGGAGAGGGGGAATTTTACTCAGTAAAATTTCTTTTTGTGTTCAACTTATCATTTATTTATTTTTTTTTCTAATATTTTTGGTTCACTTCCTGGCAATAGTTTAGTTAAAAAAACAACTAACTGTCCTGTGTTGTTCCCGTAGGTCGTTGTTCTATTGACCTCTTTTATTAGCTTGGTGTTAGTTTTTGCAAATTGTTATTTTTTCTGTGACTCTATGAGTTAGCAGCACAACAGGAAGAGCCCTGCAGCACAGCAAGACAGCAAAGAAAATAAAAACCACCAGGATCACATCAGCACAGGGTTCAGCAGAGTTTAAAATGGTCCACGTTATTTGAGGTCTGTGCAAAAAAACACCCCAAAACCACTCACATCTAAGCAGTGATCCTCACAGACTCTCATAATGTCCACCTTTGCTGAATGTCATATTTGAGAAACCTTGTTATCCAGAGCACATCCAGTCATTGTTGCTGTCAAACCGTCTCGCTTCAGGCATTCTGCAGCAGTAATGTCTGCACTCAGATATCATCTGAACTCCTGCATCCCAGTCCGGCTCAGTGACCTTTGGCTCAACCTGGAAGATGAGCAGCTTTATTAAACACAACCTTTAGAACAGAGAGGAAACCTCACACCCTAAAAATCCCCCCAAACATAATGTGAACCTCAACACATGTTGACATAGCACATGGATCAAGACAATGAGGATGACACATGGGTCTGTTCCCCCTTCATCTAATTGATACACAATGGAGAGTGTCAGCGTCACCAGTGGGGCGTGGATGAAGCTGACATTCAGGCCATGACAGCAGGCAGTCGTGGTGTCAGCTCGCTGGGCGCCCTGCAACATGTCTCCTCCTGTGATTGACAACCCCCCCAATTAACCTCCGGCTCAACTAAAGACAGAAATGACACACATATACACCTGCTCTTTGTGCCACACAGGGGTTTGTATCAGCTGTGAGACTCTCTTTTTCTATTTATGCAGCAACATATTAAAAAAATAAATAAAAATCTCTCCTAAGGCCAAATAAAGAATTATATAATTAAGTTGTTCAAATGCACCTCTGAGATGTTGTTAATAATCATATAAAATGTGACTCTGGCTCCCTCTAGTGATCGTATAGAGTGGTGCAAAAAGCTTTTCTTCTTCTTCTTCTTCTTCTTCTTCTTCTTCTTCTTCTTCTTCTTCTTC